TATCAGGTGGTTTAAAGTATGTCAAAAACTCTGTTAAACGTGCGCCTACTGGCGGTCTAACTCCGCAAAAAAAAAAAACTTTTAAAAATTCCGAGGTATCTATGCTTTTTGGCAAGGATAGACGTAACTGCCACTTTTTCAAAAAAGGCCACGGGAAAACGATACTGTCGTATGGAAAAACTCTAAAAATTCGTGAATTTTAGTAATTGTAACAACGAATTCCATAAGTTACCCATTTTGATCATATGGTTGATAGTAGTCATGCTCTTTCTGCTTAAGTTTTGCTGCACTCCCATGCGAATGACCGCCTTCCTGAAGAGATCATGCATTTTTCAGCAGGGATTTCAAAAGGGAATAAGTGATGAATAAAATCAATGGCGAATGTAGGCCACCCAAAATTATCGCTAAAATTGAGCATTACCTAAGAAAATCATAATCGTAAATGACCACAGATCGAAATGATCATAAATTATCAGGGAGCGAGTATGGTACAGGATATAAATTGTGAAGATACATGTGCAATACAGGCGGCTGAGTTGATTTCTATCCCGAACACCTATTAAAACTGGCGATCTTTTTTAGCTAATTTATAGTCAGCGAAGAGATCGGTACCATCAGGCTATTCAAAACAGCAGCACAATCTCACTCTGATCATCAAATACGACGATGAAACAACTGATGATATTGAGGTACTACCAAGTAAATGAATGCAGGAGATAGATTACTGCAACGAATTATGGGATTTTATATAAAACGGAAAAGATGGAATTTTACATTAAAAAATTACTAAAATGTATTTTGAACTCTTTCTACTCTAAAATAATCTCCCATTTTAGCAAATTTTATCAAAAATCACGCTAAACGAAGTTGCTTTAAAATAAACAATAGTTAAATGCGATCCAGAGGGCCAGCACCATCTCAAAATCAAATGATTTTCATCGAAAACTGCACTGAATTGAGTTGCAATAATATCTTGCGCCTCCACCAACCAAAAGAGAGGGGTTTTGAGTAGTTCCACCGGCACTTGAGAAGCTACAAATTCGGCTGTCTCGGATAAGGCCGTTTCCCTGGCTCAAAGCCGAGCAGATGTTCAGGTGAGCGCTCCTCAGGACGAATGAAGCCGTGAACCGGGACAAGGCCAATTCCAGAAAAAAAAAAACTGGCCCAGCTTAGACTGCATGTGCTGACGGGTCTCGGATGCGATCTAGCAAAAC